ATAATAAACGTTATTTATATAGCACTTTTCAAAACAGGGTTACAAAGTGCTGTACAGATTCCAAGAGAAGTGTACGGAAAACAACATTAAACAGCAATAAAAGAAGTAAAAAGCAAAAAATACATAAATAAATAAATTTAAAAAAAATAAATAAATAAAAATAAAAAACAGTATAAAGCTGAATCTAATCTGAAAATCTTGCAAATGGTGCAATTACCGTTAAAATCTAAACACTGGCTGAGGCTCCAGTGTGGTCAGCAGGACAGAGTTAACCTCAAGTTTTTAACTGTACTCCTTCAGCCAACAGCTGTTTCCTCATGTCTCCGCTTATTGTGTCATAACCGTGCGACGGGCGGAGCAGCAGGCCGCTCCTCAGCTCTGGAAGCTGATTGGTGGAGACGCGGGTACTGTACAAGATCTACAAACACTCTGCAGCACAACAACCAATCACAGACAGCGCGGACTGTGGCGGAGACAGCGCGTGAGCTTAGTGCTGCTCAACAGAGCGTGCTGGGACATATGGATTTTTTTTTTTTTTTTTTTAAAACCTTAAATCAACACAGACGTCCCAAATCCACCCGCACTGCAAACAGCTGCAAACCGAAACAAACTCACTTTAATTTGCTTATCTCGCAAGGAAAACTCCGCTTATCTTTCAATTTCACGCAACACGGAAAATAACTGAACAAACAGCACTGCTCAGAGGTGGTCCAGACCTTCAGAATAAAAGACATTCAACGTTATTGTCATTGCACAGAGTGCAAACACTAAGACAACGAAATCCAGTTTAGCATCTGACCAGAAGTGCAACAGAAAGAGTAAAAGTGCATTATATGCAGTATGACATAGTATAATAAGAATGAACAGAGTGGTATGAACACACTAAGTTTATAGAACTGTAGATGATATGAAGACATACAATGTGCATATGAAGGAAGAACTGGCTGTATGAGCAGTATAAACAGTATCAGAAGTATGAGACATATGCAGTATATTCAGTATGAATTGTATGAACAGTGGATACAAGATTACAGCAAATCTAATATCTTCCAAAATGACACCCGTGAGATCTTGTTCACTAAGAAAATTGGTCATAGCCCAAATAACTTAGCAATTTCCCTGAAATCTTGTACTGAAGGGATTAATAAAGTTTTACTCTAATTCTAATGATTAAAGACACAAAAATATGCATTTTAGGTCCACAGATAAACGTGGATAAAAAAATAATTGCTAACATAAATAACAGCCTACATCTCCAAACAGCGATGACCAGTTAGTGTTAATATTTGTTCACTCTTTCATTGTCTGCATTGTTTGGAGTTGATCTATTCTGAACTGCTCGTTTGTATTATTGCAATAACAGGATAATGTTTTGATCGGCTGCATCAAACCAGAGATTTAAAATTAGAATTGCCAGCAAAACTTTTAAAATTTCCAAAAATGTTTTAAGCAGTACAACTAAATATGTAGAAAATAAAATAAGGCATTATGAGGGACTGATTTAATTTTTTAGTATTTAACGTGCAGGAAAAAATAATGGCAGCAGAGACTTGACATTGCTATTAAATTCAGGATAATGATATGTATTAAATTTGGAAAGTGTTCCAAATGTATTCATAAAGATTGACTTTCAGTAAAGACAGAACTCATCCATATACACAGTGACATACATATATATACATATATAGTATAAATGTCTTATATAGATACCTACTAAAATAAAATAGTGATGCATTTATAAAAATAAAAACAGTTTAGGATGACAAACTGAAAGTGAAATCGTCATCAGATAAACGACCACACGTGTAGTTTTATTTTGAAGCGGTGTCCGGAGGTGGATCTTGGTCCTGGGTGATTGTGGGCAGCTCAGGTCTCAGGTCTGCGCCGATCTGCTGCTCTTCACCTCTGAGTGACTCTCCGGTGTTGTCGGTGAACCGTCGACACGTATCCTGGCCAGGAGCCGGTGTGGTGAACAGAACCCGGACAAAAAGGTGGGTTCGAGCCAGCAGCTGATTAGCAGATCAGTGATAGTGACTGTGTGACCAACAGCACTGTGTAGAGAAGTGAGTGAGTGAATTAGTGAATAACTCGGGATCTGGTTACCGGTGACCAAATCCCGGAACTGACCCATGTGGTTTCGGTGGAGGTTAAAGCCTCAGCTCTCCAAATGGGAGCTAAAACCAACACAGAGCTCCACTGCACAGTTCACTGCTTTTTCCACTGCTTCCAGTGACTTACTGTACTTTACAGGTAACTTATGGACCACAATGCACGCGCACTGATCACGTGTGCTTACACTGAGGCGATTCATATACAAATGCAAAGGAGGCTGTTGTTTACTGTAACTTTCCAGGACTCATCCTGAGAGCAGAAGGCTTGCAGGGAACATCTGAGGTCGTCACCAATTTGGGCAATTGTTTGCCTTGTTGCCCAGAGTTAGATGTGGAGATTGATGCTTCTCTCATGTTTGTGTTCTTATCCCTTAATACTCAAACTAGTCAGGGAAGTGTGTGAGATGAATCATGTTGTAGGGCGCTAACAGTAATACTGAAAGTGATTTAGGAAGTCTGGAAACAAATGAGTCAGTAAAGGAGTAGCAGTGAACACTTTGGTGTGTTTGTTGGTTTTGGCCTCATGTTTCAGGATGATTTGTTATTTATTTGAGAAATGCAATCATCCAATACTGTTCACAATTCTAAACTGTTATAGCCACTCAAATGCCTGCATATGGTTAGTAAATACAAATAAAATAGCAAAAATCACTGCTTCACCTGAAAGATGCATGATAAAAAATGTACTTATACAGTCATTTTTAATTCCCTAAACTCACTTAAATTCAGTGTGTATAATTATAAATATATAAAAACCCAATAAATCCAAAGCTTCCCTTGAACAGCTCTTTGGCAATGAAAAAAATTTTAATGGGAAGAAACATGTGGCAGAACCAGGCTTGTAAGAAACGTGGCCGAGACGTCAGCTCTTGCAACCTGGTGCCAGTTTTTATCATTGTCCAAATCTCACTGACACATTAACTGATAGCTGTTGTCATTCAGCTCAAAGTAAAACCAAGTCAATGATTGTGGTGTCTGTGCTGTCCAGGAATATTCATGTTGTTTTAAACACAATTTGTCTTTTTTGTCACCAGCTGTGGAACTAGTGTGGTTTCAGGTCTGTTAGGACCACCTGCTTGTCAGCAGCACTCTCCCAGCAGCAAGCTTAACCTCTGACTCCTCAGTCACCTTGACTGAAGCACTGTGACTAACCTGTACCTCTGAGTAAACGTGTTGTGGTCAGCAGTCTGTGGCTCCGTGTCTTTTTCCCAAGCAGGGGAGGTGAAGCCATGTTCAGAGTCTTCAGTCACCAAGGCAAGAGGGTGCCAAGCTGCCTCGCGGGCCAGCGGCGCTATGAGCACCACAGGGCCGTCATGGCCATCCGCCGCGAGGACATCAATCCCTGGGAGAGGAGGGCGCCGCTTGCCCCGCGCCATATCAGAGAACTCACACACGCAGGCGTCAAAGTCCTGGTCCAGCCTTCGAACCGCAGAGCCATCCATGAGAAGGTGAGCCTCTGAACAGTGTCTGTAAATAAAAACAACCTTCCTCTAATGCTATTGTAATATTACTTCCTGCTCTACACAGTCAAAAATTAGCAACTACAAATTCTGGCATATAGAGTTGAGATTGGAACGTTTTGGGCGTCTTACCATGAAACATACAACAGACAAGCGTTAATTATGACTATAAACTAGCTGTTATTTATGAGACAGATTTAGCTTCGCCCAATTTACACACTTTTTCCTGTTTTGATAGAATTTAAAAACCTCTTTACTTTTACATTTTGATACTCTGATAGTGCCATAAATTTATTTAGAATACCACATAAGTAAAACAAAAGGGAAATGTAAACTGAGCTGTAGAAGAAAAGTTTAAATTTAAGTTCTGTAGAAAGAAAAGTCAGGAAGCTACTCCTCATATGTGCTAACTAGCGGGAAGCTAACTGTGCTAGCTTAGAAGAGCCCCTGACTCTTGTGGATTTTTTTGCCGTTATGCTGTGTTTCAAATAATTATTTTGTTGTATTTAGTATGTTATTAATTTGCTACCTACTTAGAACAAAATAGCTAAAGTAAGAAATAAGGGGTAAAATTATAGTTTTGCAATTCATGCCATATAACTGGATAACAGTTTGGTTTTAGAGCCTTCAAACACGAAGCTTTTGGCATCTTCCGTTTTATTACATTTTTATATTATTTCATTTTATATTGTGCTAAATGCTATATGATAGTATTCTATCTATAATATATACATGGCAGTACTCTGTTATTACTGTATAGTGTGCACATATTGCACTATCCTGGACCTATACATAAAACTTAATGCTTCTGCTTGTATGTTGTACTCATTGTTCATATTCATATCTGTACTTATGTATTATATTATTGTATGATCTAAATACAGTGTGCAACATGGCAGCCAGACTTGTGGTTGTGGATTTTTATATTTCTTTTGCACAAACATTTGCACAACTCTTTTAAAGTGTATGATATCATGTGTTGTATATGGCTTTGTGATTTAAAAAAAAAAACAAACATCCTATCTATTTTCCTTAACTCCTAGCCTGCAGTCCTAGCCTTGTGCTGCCTTAACACAAATTTTACTTTGACGATTAACAAAGTGTTATCTTGTTGTGTGAATTACTACTTGAAATATTTAAGATTTTACAAATAAAATACCAGTTTTCATAACAAACAAAAATAACAAAATGTGAGTGTTTTAGCTGGCTGGTCTGATTCAGTCCATTCTTTACTTTCAGTACTACATGAAGGCAGGGGCTGTGGTTCAGGAGGATATTTCAGAGGCATCACTGATAATTGGAGTGAAGAGGCCACCAGAAGAGAAGATCATTCCCAGGAAGACGTATGCTTTTTTCTCTCACACCATCAAGGCACAAGAGGCCAATATGGGGCTCTTAGACGACCTGCTGAAGAAGGTGAGCCCTAAAATATACTTTCAGTTGTCCTGATCAGTATCTGCACATGTTGCTGGAAAATCCTTAATTATTTGAACTACTTGTCTATCAGTAAGGCCCCAACTTCATTTTGATAAAGTAGTGTGCCTGTCTCTGCTGTCTCCATAGCTAACTTTGGAAGATAACTCATTTACTTCCTTCCTCAGAATCTCAGGTCAAGATGACCTTCTTTCACTCTGTACACACTATGATTGTATCTGACTCAATAATATGCTTTATTTATCACAGATAAAACAGAGAATAGTTTACATGAACGTCAAAGTTTCCCTCCCTGGGATGCAAGGAATTATTATTATTCTCTGCACAATACAAATGCGTTTTTGAGGGCTTTTTTTGTTTTTTACATAAAAGAATTCTTTTCTACCGAGTGTCAGTTTAATCAGTCACATTTTCCAAGTCTCATCAACAGTTTAATAAATAACTCTGTCATTTAGCTTAAAGTATAACTGTGTTAGTGATTGTGGTGTCTGTTCTGTACAAAATGTCCATGTTGTTTTTGTGTTGTCTTTTTTTTTTTTGTCTGTTTGATGAAACTGCCCACTCAAATCACGTTGTAAATTTGAAGTCAGCTTTATCTTATTAACCTAAACCATGAGTTTGTCTCATAGGATGTTAGGATCCAGCCTCAAGAGTCAGCTGGAGGCAACAAAAACCAAGTGCAATTGGTGGAAGTAAAGTAATTTATTGCTCAGTGACGTAATGAACACAGAAAAGCTGCGATAATACAAAGAAAACCGTTAGTGGGTGTTGGTAAAATCAATGAACCAAATAAAACAAAATGAAGGCTAACAGAGTTACAAAAGCTAGCTAAATAAAATCAAAACAACTGAACTCTTTAGCCAAACTTAAACACAATAGCAACACCCATAACCAACAAAAGAAACTAAACAAACGAGTGCCTCAAAACACATACCAACAAGAGACAACGAGTAACTTCTTCACAAAATTGAACAGCTGCTAACTGGACTTATAGGCTTCACCAAGACACAGGTAACTCCCACACTAAGCTGCCAACAGAAGTCACATTTTAACACCAAAACACAAAGAACAGAGGCACCGAGGCGAACTGCTCACTCTAAATCCCAGCCGCCATGACTCTGAGGTTGGTTGTAGCTTTGTAGCAGGTGTGGTGATTGCTGCAGTCTTGTTGGAGGAGAAAACCGAGTTGTGGAACAATCAGTCAGATCAGTGGGTGGGGAGAAGGATGAGGGCTGAAGAGCAGGTCTGGAGTCTCAGACCAATTATCCCTGATTTCAGCCAGGTGGAGACTGGAGCATGGCCTTCAGCTAGCTCTAGGCAAGTCCATGCCAACATTGTCCCCACATCGAGGCAACAGTGGACCACCAGCTTTCTATACCTTCCTAAACTCCTCCCTGTCTCCATGCCTAAAGGCCACCGTCTTCCTTTTCAGTGTGGCTTTGATGTCTTTAGTCACCCAGGGGTTGTTGTTCTAGAAACAGCTCATTGCCGTAGCTGGGATCATACTGTCCATGCATAACTGAACATAGTCTGTAATGCAGTCCCATGTGCAATACAGAGAACATCCCAATCCCTCACCTCAAAATATCCCTGCAGAGTCTCCACAGCATCCAATGACCACCTCTTAACAGTTCTGGTGGTCACTGGTTCTACTGGACAGCGGGAATGTAGTTTGACTTGGTGTGGACCAGGTTGTGGTCTGACCTGCCCAGAGGAGGGACAGCTATGGAACGGTATGCTTTCTTAACATACAGCAGGTCCAGGGTTTTGTTGTTCCTGGTGTTGCAGTTAACAAACTGTTTTAAGGTGGGCAGAGTTGATGTAACAGTGACGTGACTAAAGTCCCCAGAGATGGCTATGAAGGCACAGGGGTGAAGTGTCTGTAGGACTGTGGTCACAGGGTTGATGATGTCAGTAGTCCACGATGCACTGGCTGCAGGAGGAATGTAAACATCTATCACAATAGTCTGGGAAAATAATATGGACGGATACTTATTGCTAGCAGTTCGATGTCCAGGCTTCACACGTTCTTTCACGATAACGTTCCCAAGTTTGCTCCAGTTGTTGTTCAAAATGTATCCAAGATTTGTTGAATCACCAGCAGCTGGACTTAGCAGTTGATGCTTGAAGATGTTTTGTCTGTCATCAGATTTGACTGAGGAGTCCCAGGTGTTTAGCCTCTGTGGGGTTGTTGTCAAGGCCACTGATATCATTTGGTTTGTTGGTACTCCTGGTCGTCGTAGCAACAGTTGTGAAAGTTGTTGGAGTCCCATGAGGCTGTGTGTAAATGACAGTCATTAGATTTGTTGGAGGTCAAGAGTGAATGGGTGTTAAAAAGATGAAAAGACAGCATTGTAGGTGGGTGATGAGTGAGGTCGCAGACCTTGTCCCCTGTTGAGTGATGGTTTCTCTACTTAAATAGCCACCTGTCCTCTCTACTCAGAATATGCACATTGTTGTCCTCAACAGAGTGTCTCTTATCTCTCAGGTGGTCAGTAAACTGCTGAGTCTTGCCCAGAGGAGCTAGCCCTCCCGTATGGATGTGTGGTCTTTCAGATGAGCCATTTTCTGCTTGTTGGAAAAAAAATGTTTTTTTGATCATCATATATGGGAAAACTACGGAAGAGGATTCGGGCCACTGAAGGAAAAAAAAAATAAATAAAAATTCGGAGAAAAAAGTCAGAATTCTGAGATTAAAGTCAGAATTCTGACTTTTTCCCAAACATTTAAAAAAAAAAAAAAAAATTCCGGGAGATTTTTTTTGTTTTCAATCTCTGAAAAAAAAGTCAGAATTCTGAGATTAAAATCAGAATTCTGACTTTTTTCCAGAACATTAAAAAAAATAAAAAATAAAAAAAATAATTCCGGGAGATTCTTTTTTTCAATCTCAAAGTCAAAATTCTGAGTCAGAATTCTGACTTTTTTCAGAGATTGAAAAAAAAAAAAAAATCTCCCAGAATTTTTTTAATGTCCTGATAAAAAGTCAGAATTCTGACTTTTTTCTCAGAATTTTATTGTTTTTTTCTTCAGTGGCCCTAATCCTCTTCTGTAGAAAACAATGTTGTTGCATTTCTTCTTCTTTTTTTTTCTTCACTACCTAGAGTGTTGATATTCTTTCTGTATGTTGTGGATGCAGTCACAGGGGTCCACTTAGTATATTTCCAAGTTTCAAGTGCTTCCTTTAAGTGTCTATGATCCTGTTCTTGGGCCCGGCCCGGCACACTATTAGCTTGGTGGTGCAGGGTTGATAACTCCTAGCTTGTGTTCTGGTTGGTGGTAACAGCTGAGGAGTAAGAGAGGCTTTCCTGTTTACACTGGAAATCAAACATGTTAATAGCTGTTCAGATTAGCTGCACAATAAAACAAATAAGCTGGTCACCATAGAGTGGCATGGGAGGCAGTATCAATTAAATAAAGGGAATAATGGCACACATTTTTAGGCATTCTCTCTTGAAAGATATTTGTAGTGTTGTCCTCACGCTGTGGTTATAGAGAGAGAGACAAATGGTTGTGAGGTGTGAGGAAAAACAAAATAATAAGCTGAAGGAGAAGTTAAAACCCTGGCTCCTGCCTCAGCTAAACTGGGTGAGAATAGTTTCAGAAGTTACAGAAATGGAGGGACAATAACCGTGAAGTGTAACGTGTTGGGGCGTTAGGGTTTCTGAACAGATTCAGCTACTCAATAGAATTTAATTAAACTGAAACTAGCACTGATCAAACTCTAGAACACAGGTGAATGAAGGACTGTCGCTTGTATTTACTTAGCTCAGTAGTTCTTGCCAAAATATGGATTACTACAGTAGTTGAATAGTGCTGTTGGCTGTATAACAACTTAACAGATGCTACTGTATATATAAAACCAAGAGCTTCCTCTAAGAGCATTGTACTACTTCCATTGCTAACACCTTTTCTTAGTAACAGTAAAACTATAGACATTTACTATTTTTTTATTTCGATCATCTACTCTGTGATTTTCTCTAACAATGACACACAGTCAGATGTTTCCCATTCAATCTTCTTGGAAATGGAGGTATTATTCTGTATCAGTTATGGGAATGTGTTAAATGTGACATGTTTCTGCAGAAAATGTTTAACTGAAAGCAAATTAAAAAAGCTGTAATGTAGGAGTAACTGCATTTAGTGACGCAAATCTGTAGTAGCCTGAAATGAGACTGTGGAGACTATAACATGTCACTCGAAAGACTTCAATTTGTGACATGCAGAAGCCAGCTACTGGTTAAGTTTTGCCTGTGAGTTATCACTTCCTTATACGTTAAATTAAGAAGATAAACATGCTTGCATTTTCTAATTCATTTCAGTTTACATTCAGATTCAAACTCAAAAGCTATAATAAGTGTAATTTTGTCTTTTCAGGAGGTTCGCCTTATCGACTACGAGAAGATGGTTGATGCCAACGGCTACCGGATTGTTGCATTTGGTCAGTGGGCCGGTGTTGCAGGTACGACATTGCCCTGGTTTTGCACTGTGCCTCAGCTGGTCAGGCATCTTCCAGGACTGATGTGAAAGTTGTGATTGACGGCAGCTGTTGTGAAAGTATTGGAATAAATTCATCATTTGATAATTTGATCAGACCAGAACCCAGCAGAATCAAAATGTAAAGGATGCAAATGGGTATACAGACTATACGTAGTAGACTGTAACTATCACATACGGCAGATCTGTGCAGTGTGACTTTATTGTTATGAAGCAAATCGTCCCAATGTTCTTCTTACCTCTTCCTGCTGTCAAAGTAAGAGATTGATATCCATCCATCCATCATCTATACACCGCTTAATCCTCACTAGGATCATGGGGGGCTGGAGTCTATCCCAGCTGACTTAGGGCAAAGGCAGGGGTCACCCTGGACAGGTCGCCAGTCTATCACAGGGCTACACTTAGAGACAGACAAACAAGCACACCTAATCATTTATCAATATTTTTTTGAATATTTAACTAATACTTTTATTCATAGTTTCTAAATGTTTTACATAGATGTGACGAAGTTCTGATATATTCTTATATTTATTTATTGAAAATTACAATGATTCATATCCATAACTGATCATCTAATTTATTTTCAGATATTGTATCAATATTTTCGAATTCTAATTGTAAGTCCACACCAACAAGCACAGACATATTTTACTGATCCAGTACAAACATACGGCAATTTGAAACATTTGCATCATGTGATTGTACTGTTGGAGCACAGCTCCATTTCCACATCGATTCCTGGTTGTGGGATCAACAGTTGTAACCAGCTTGTAGTCAGAAACACAGCCTAGACAACCTTCCTAATGGGCGACAGTTTTAGGGTCTACTTCTAGTAAATGCACAAAACAGACATCAAGGTGTTTAGCAGAATCTTATCAGGACTGATTTCAAAATATTCAAAGTTTCAGCTTAACAAATACGTTGTTTAGGAAGAAACAGATCAACACTTCTATTAGTTAGGTAAGCAATGTGTTGTAAATGTGCACAGACTGCAAACGGCACTGCTTGACAAGAAAATCAGTTTTTTTGAGTCAAACGTGAACCTGTAGTGGAAGTGAAATATTAAAATACACCTACCTAGTTGTAGGAATTATATATTAACTTTTTGTGGTTTTTGATGAGAAATGCTTTCTGTTTTTTTTGCAGGAATGATTAACATTTTGCATGGATTGGGGCTGCGCTTCCTTGCTCTTGGCCACCACACTCCCTTCATGGTAAGAGAGGCCATTCTTCATTCAAACAAAACAGCTGTGTCCTCACATGCAGTGCAGAAGCAGTGTTCTCCTCTTAATGTGATTCATGTCCCACCATCACTCTGCCATTCACAGCACATCGGCATGGCTCATAACTATCGCAACGTCAGCCAGGCCATCCAGGCAGTGAGGGATTGTGGGTATGAGATTTCGATGGGGCTCATGCCCAAATCCATCGGCCGTGTCACATTTTGCTTCACTGGAACTGGAAACGTCTCCAAGGTAAAAAAGAGCAAACTGGTAGCAAAAAAACAAGACTGAATGGTTTCAGAGTCAGAAAATCTGATTGAAGGGGATTTTTGGGAAAGTTAGTCCCCTACCTAACTTTGTTCTACCCTGCAGGGAGCCCAGGACATCATCAATGAGCTCCCTGTTGAATATGTTGAGCCTCATGAGTTGAAGGACGTCTCTGAAACAGGAGGTCAGTTCAACCATTGTTAAAAGGATGTTGTACTCTAATTTAGAATTTTGATTAGACTGAAATAATATTTTCATTTTTTCAGGAGTTCCTCGCTCTGGCCTGTTGATAGTAATGCATTGGATTTAAACTGTCTCCCAAGTGCCTCTTATGTGTCGAGCCCTCGGTTGTTTATTTAAGGATTAAAGCTGTTATTGATTGAATTCAGCTATGTTTTTTTTCACGCAAGCATTCCAAAACGTAGCCTAGGGCATAAGGAATTAGATAAAGTTTTACAGAGCTACAGTGGGACATTAACAGCAGCAACAAAAGCCACTTTGAAAAATGTTAAATCTTCTTCTTCTACAAATGTGCAGAAGTAGCTTTTGCTGCCACACTTGTCTAAGACAACTGCAAAAAAAACCACTAGACTGGAGAAAAATAACCCAGGAGCTAAATTATTCAGAATCGGAGCTCCCTAAAATATTCCCCTCCTTAGAAAATGAGCACAGCATTTAACAGAAACATCAGCTCCAAAGTTTGATCGAAGACTGTTTCACATTACATTATACTCCTGAAACACTTAACAAAAGATTTCAGTGTGTAGAAGAAAGCAGGTTACAGAGAGCTACTGATCTCACTTCTTTCTAACTCCTCAGCCCATTTTTGTTTTTAAAACTTGTAGTTACCAATAAGGATTGACCGATTATTGATCTAGCTGAATATTGAATCCAATATTTAGCTTTTTTCGGACTATCCGTACTTTTTTTTTTTTAAACTGACACCTGAAATATAGATCAGTTTGAAAATGGGCTACTTTGGGCCTGGTGAAGCCGCCTCTTTCTATCTTTAGTCTCCAATCTGTGATCCTGATTAATGTTTTGCCTACAGCACAATCTAATTGGTTACATCTTGCAAGCTATATTCAGTCAATACTAAAGGAAAAATGTTGGAACGCTTCTTTTAATGTAAAACATGAAAAACAAAGGCATTTTAACAAAATTATGACTTGTGTTTTGTCTTTATTCAAACCTTTGACACCAAGTCAATTCTTTTTGCTGAACATGTATACAGGTTTTAACTATCTGTTGTCAGTCTACTTAATTACTGGACATTTCACTACTGATTTAGTTCCTGACAGTTATCTATCAAAGTCATATTAAGCATGTTAGTAAAATCACCATGTTCATATATATTTGTGTGATTTTAGCAAATTAAAAATTAATCCCACGGTTTGTGGTTGTCATTGTAAGAAATTCCACAATTCTGACTGTCAAGGAGTTAGTCTTTCTGAGTTTGAAAAACAAGGTTAAAAGGGGTATTTTTGTTACTGATACTACAAATGCTCTAATTTTTTATTAATTATTATAAGACATATTATTAATTATTTGTACAATCTGTATTATTTTACCTCTAGTAAGCTACAATCAACAACATGTTGTTTTGTTTCTTATCAGATATGTCCAAAGTGTACGCCACTGTTCTGAGCCGACACCACCACCTGGTGAGGAAGAGTGATGCCATATACGACCCCATGGAGTATGAGAACCACCCAGAACTGTACACGTCACACTTCAGGACCAGTGTGAGTTTCTTAGCTTCATTAACCTCCGTTACAACACTCCTCACCCAGCCGTCCACCTGCTCCTGTCAGTCACTCAGAGGTCTCGTCCTCTATTTCAGTCAGCAGTGCTTCGAAGTTTGTGTTGGTTTTTAAAAAAACATGCCACATGGCAGGTTGTTGTCTGTGTTGACTTTGGCACACTCAGTCCCATAAAAAGATAATTTAACGTAGTCTATATTTTGACAAAGTAATTGGTATTTACTGACAAGTTACAAAACAGCAGATACGAGATAAATCAAATGTGTCACTAAAAGTGGTTTGAAATGACATTCACAGTCCCCCAGTTGTTCTGTCATTCAGCCAATAGCCTCAAATACAAAGATATCCATTTTACATGGATAGAAAAGATAGAAAAAATGGAAACCTTCAAACTGGAGATCAGAGAATGATTAGAATTTTTACTAAAAGGGATGGGTCAACATTTTTAATATATTTTTTTATTATATATCTATATATGTTAATAATATAAAAAAAACCAAGCTGCTCCCATAACCATACGGTTAACCTGAAGCAATAGCCTGCAGCTGTTTCGCTTAGTTTAGGAACACATACTGGTTACATCTAAGTCTACCTAAATATATTTACATTTATATGTATTTCAAAGAAAATATGAAACTAAAAACACATACCGATAAAAATCCATTCCTTGTTTATTGGCCTTTTTTTTTCACTGACAACGAAGGTTTTTACGATATCCTATCCAATCTGGCCTCTTGGGCTGACGCTTGAATTCATGACAGAGTGAAGAGCACTCTTAGAGCACCATCACAGGAAATGCAATGTCATCTTAATTACAGGTGGCGCCCTACACAACGTGTCTGATCAACGGTATTTACTGGGACCCCCAAACCCCCAGACTACTCAGACGACTGGACGCTCAGAAGCTCATGAGACCTCCCAAAACCGCACGTGTAGACGACGAGGGATCACCGGAGCTACCTCACAAGTAAGAACATTAAATTGAAATATCGCAGACGTCTGAAATAATTTCCGAGCTTTGCATGGAAGGGCTCTGTCTTCGCTCTTTTTTTTTTGACCGTTATCATTACAATGTTTGTAAGAAGACAACATAGGTTATAGCTTTTCACAGTATTTGAACCCTTTATGTTGTCGTGAGTGATCGTACTATGCACTTTGGAAAATAAATTGAACAATCATTGGTCAAACAAGGCTTTCATCTTTTTTCATTCATTTTATTGTTATCCCATTGATACTACCTATGGGTCTCGTTCTTTAAGGATGTTTATTGGTTGTTTTTAATCACAAAACTATTGCTATTATTATTATCACCCTAACTCTAACCCTATTACAAAAAATAAATACATTACTGTCTCAGTCAGCAGCTAGCTTAACAAGAGTTTACCAAATTTTGTGATACATGGGGACCTGAAACTAGTTTCATAGCATTTCACTCGTGTGATGTGATGATGTAAAACACAGCAACAGTGGATGGGAGGCTATGGACAAAGCAGTGGAAGTGAACGGCATGTTTATTCTTCTTGAACAGGTGGTTTGACAGGTTACTCTTGTTGGCCTTTTACCCGCTGTAACTGTTATCTTTCTCCATTGCTTTGTTGGGGTCAGGGAGGAGATGATGAAGCATGAGCAACAATGACACCAAAATATAGAAATCGTTCTCTCTGTTTTTAATGAAAGGGGATACCCTGCCATATAGTGGAAAAATAGCAAAGCTGCCCCTCTGTCCTCCATTACCGAATACTGTCCCATCCTCCTGCAGCAGTTCCTTTAACCCCCTCTGTCCTTAGCCTCTCCCACTAGACAAACAAAGGCATATGCACACACTTGAAATACACCAAAACAGTAAAGCTGAAAGTCGCTTTTGACTTCCGATTATGATTGAAATGCTGCTCATTTGTCTCATTGCGCCTCCACGTCCTATTTCCACCAGATGCTTTGTTGCTGTTGATTCTCTCTCACCTTATCTGGGTGAGGAGCTCAGTCATTGGCTAAAATTTTAAAGCCTGAAACGAACCCAAAAAACTGCAAAAGTCTGGTTTCTCTTGAGACCACTTGAATTCCAATATTCTAAAAGATTAGTATGGATTTTTTGCCTCGTGACATGGAAAAAATACTGCCTAGCCCAGCTTAGTTCAGTATTTCCCAGTGTTTGTCAGCTTCACTGCAAAACATATTTTCTTATCTGTAGAAGATGAAGAAAAAAAAATCTGCTTTCTGCTCTGACTTTGACCTGTCCTTAACTTTTCAGTCAAACACAGTCCATGTGACAGAGCGATGTACCTGACACAGAAGGCTGAATATCTGCTCTAGTGAATGGATAAAAGTACTTTATCAGTAGCTGCTGCATCTTCAGTCGTGATTACAGAGTGGCAGTTGAGCCCGTCGGTTTGACCTCATGAGCGCTGTCCCTTCTCTTTCTACAGGCTGCTGGCCATCTGTGACATATCCGCTGACACCGGAGGCTCTATAGAGTTCATGAATGAGTGCACCACGATTGACAAGCCTTTCTGTATGTACGACGCTGACCAGCACATAGATCACGACAGGTACAGTGCAGAGAGTTCGTCGTGTCACGACGTGTCTTCGTACCAACACCTGCATGCTTCTTTTTTCACTTTTACTGAGCTGTAGTGTGACGTTAGTAGATTTCAGCTTATTTTTTCCTCTGCCAATAGATGTAAAATCTGTGGTTAAGCTGTTATTTCAGTTCCTTTTCTTTGAAACATTATTTTGAATTCACAATTGTTCCTAAAGCAGACCTTGTGACATCACTTGTGTCACGTGATTTTTGTTATTTTGTTTCGATGTATTTACTTCTTGTCTTTGCCATAAAATTTAATGATTTTTTTTCTTATTGATTGCATTATTGTGATTTAATTAGAGTCAGCACATAACAACTGTGCGTTGGATGTTACCCTTTCAGCTCATAGTGACCAAAAACCGCTTACCAGGGGCTTAATTGTTGTGGTGAGTCCTCTGAGGTTCTGGTCATAAAGTCTTATCTTTATTGCCATCAAGACAATCTGCTTACCCACTTCCTGATGAGCATTCTTGACTTGCTGGGCAGCAGGTAAATGGGATTTCTCCCCCATGAATGACTTTTATCCATGGTTTCTTGCTCCTCTTTTGCGATTTTCTTTGTTTTCCTGTGAGGACTTGCATTTTGTAGAACAAACTCTATTGATTTTGACAAACCAGCTTACTCTAAATTTCACCTCATCTTAAATGACAGCTCTCAATTAACACTAAGCCACGTGTGGGCTTGTTTGTGCAATAATGGCTTAAGAGTCACTTCATTGCCAAGTGTGTAATCACTTTTGAACCCTTGAGATTTGTGCACTATGTGTTTAAAGAGCTGTAAAGAGGGTGGACATGTGTTGGGGTCTCGCTTCTTGCCCAACCTATTTGTGAGCACACACCTATTAAACTTTAGGTAGCCTGCCCTCTATCTGTCGTTGATGCCTGCTTTATGCTTTTCGTTTAATAAATAAAACTGATTAGTACCTGCTAGTTTACTAGTTAGGTAACTGCACGTCGACTACTTCCCCTCCACAGTTTGGTTGTGCGAGTAACTTGTAACCTGGGGTGGAGACATGGTGTTGAGGTACATGCTCCTGCCCAGATCTTCATACCACACCTCCAACACTCGTCATTTCAAAGACAATTTTGACGTCACACATCACAGTTCAGCAGAGCTACATACTGTCAAACCAGCACTTTCTGAAAAATCAGCAAAAACATCAGAGCATTAGAATCTTAAGAAACATTTACGTTGGAAACTTTGATTAGCTTCATTAGCTTTATAAGTGAAGGTATTTTCAGTCATAAGTTTGTATATGTTTAACATGGACTCCTGGATAAGCAATTGTTGCCAAGGTACCAGTCGATAACCACCAGTTTGTTTGTGATCCTGGCAGTGTGGAGGGCAACGGAATCCTCATGTGCTCCATTGACAACCTTCCTGCTCAGCTTCCCATCGAAGCCACTGAGTACTTTGGAGACCGACTCTTCCCCTACATATGGGAGATGGTAAGATGTCTGGGTTTTAGGTAAGGTGACGGTGGCTGGCGATGCCACTGGGTGGTGATGCCACTGGGTTTCTGTCTTCCGCTGTGGTGCTTTCTGCTTCTGTCTGATTTCTGGTTAAGCTTACTGTGGGAGATGGCTGCGGCAGGTTTCATGCGGTGAACTAAATTCCTGGCAGACAGGATTTGCCTTCTTGTAAGTTCTTTATTTTTTTGTAAATTTCATGTCCTTTTATCACCAGCTGCCTTCAGACGCCACCAGACCAATGAAGGAAGAGGAGTTTAGTCCTCAAGTCCGAGACGTAAGTAGTGTAATGTTAGTAGTAGTAAAATGTAAAGCTGTATTTGCTGCACAGCCATGTTTCTAACCTAATTTTCTAATTTCTCAGTTTCTAAAACAAGCAACAAATTCATATTAATTTGCTATCTCACAATTGATTACCTATTAGATACATGCATAGTAAATTAGATGATGGTGATATGTTTGGTACGAGGGTTGGTGAAAAAGGTTCTGAGACTGTGCCATAAAAATGACAAATCCTACCTGATTTAAATTTGGCCACCGTCCCTGATGAGTAGCCTACTTATGAAGTGGTGTAATGTTTCCAGCTCTTCTGCAATGCTTGAAATGATCCCTTAAAGTTCTGTTATGTAAATGCATGTCAAGCACCATCTGTGATTTTACTGAATCTTCTAAGCTGTGTTGAAACCGCAACTCTTAAAGTTTAATTTCATTTTGGGGGAAGAGGAAGAAGTCACAAGGAATGAAATCTAGCTCGTAAGGTAGAAGGGGTTGGGTAGATGGAGAACAACAATTACACTGTGACCGAGCACGCAGTAGAGTGGAGAACTCACCTGCCAAATGCCACAGTCCCCCCTCAGACACTTCAGGATGTTACAGCAGAACATTACCTTGACCTTTGACTCTGGGGACACATTCCCGGTGCAAAACAGTGAACATGCTCCTGGTGCTCCTGACCTGATGCACCTTAATAGTACCAGGCCATGCAACATCCTGACTCATGGCAGCTACTGTTTGCACATGTTGCATGACTGTGCACGCACACCACAGACAGTTTTGGACTGATCAACCTTTGCCTATGTGTCTGTTTTTAAAGCACTGTCCTTAACAGAGAAATTCAGGGCTTTCCCTGACAAGTAATATCCTGTAGAGATATGTCATGTCTTCTAGTTATTAAACCTCACCTTAAAGATTACGTTCTGAAAAATCATGTTTTGCATTGGCACGGCAGACAGCTCTAAATACACCAATGCCCATGAGCCTCTGCTGCTGCTGCTGTGGAGAACAACAAAGAAACAGTGAATTGTAAACACTTGGTCACCCAACCGGTCGAGGCAGATGGCCGCCTTCCCTGAGCCTGGTTCTGTCTGAC